ACTGAAGTTCATCCAACCATTGATTTCCAGGGACACGATCTGTATACCTAGAGAACAGAGCAGCAAACATTTCCCTATACAGTTCACATTCTGAAAATAAATGAGATCTTGTTTCCAGATTATGTGAGCAAAAAACACAGCCATGATTTCCAGCAAGTCCCCATCCTTGAGCCTTGTTCCCTGTAACGATATGATCATTCACAACAAGCCAAACCAGGAACTGGTTTCTTGGTATACAAGGCCCCTTCCAAACCAGAGAACTCCACTGGACAAGGGATTGTCGAGGTCTGATATCCTCCCAGACTTTCTTAATTTTAGACTTTGCTATTAAATCCCCTTTCCAGTGAACTCCATCATCCTGCACTGACAGCTAACTTCTCAATTTGTCCCTACACTTTAGAAGAATTGAGTTAGACTATACAGCACAGGCATAACCAACTGGAATCTACCCGCATATATCAAAGTTTTGGACTTCCAACTGGTAATTCTTCTAGTAACTTTATCAACCAGTGGAGCACAGGCTGCTATAGTAAGTTTACCAGCTAACAATGGGAGACCTAGATAACGAACAGGAAGAGCACCCAACTTATATACCCAGAGTAACTTGCCATTGACTCTTTCCATTGCTCACTTAGCCCACCACAATATAATTCACATTTAGCTGGATTTGGTTGAAGGCCAGACATTCCTCTAAACACAGACAAGACTCTTTTTATGCATTGAATCCCAAGGTTAGACCCATCAGAGAATAACAGTCGGTCGTCAGCAAACATCAGGTGAGTTAACTTCAGCCTCTTACACATAGGATGGGAAGGCATTGCATTTTATTTAATAGCCTCATTCATAAGACAGGAGAAAATTTCCATAGCTACTGTTCCCAAGCAATTTTCGCTTTCCCTTCATCGTTGACATGCCACAGAAACTGGGAGCAGACCTTCTGTACCTGTTACAACACCCTTTTTGGAAGAAGTATGGTGAAAGGGGGTCAACCTGTCTAGCCCCCTTCCTGGCTCTAAAGTAACCACAGAGACTACCATTGACATTTATGCTATAATGTGCAGTTTGAATGTAACACTTGATCCATTTCAAAAATTGCTCAGGGAATCCCCATAGCATTCATCATAAGGAACAGATAATTCCAATTCACAGAATCGAATGCTTTCATTATGTCAAATTTAATGGCACATCTAGATGAAAGCCCCTGCCTAGGATAGCCACTTACAAGCTCTTGAGCTAGCAGGATGTTCTCCATGAACGCTGACTGTGAAGGACTAGTAATAGTTGGCAACACTTCCTTAAGCTGGTTTGAAAGAATTTTAGCCACTATCTTATATAATATATAAGTTCACACAAGATATAGTTCTAAAGTTATTAAGTGTATCTGCATTTGGTGTATTAGGAATTAGAGAAATTGCCGTAGAATTTACACCACTAGGAAGTTTACCTTGCTAAAAGAAGTCAAGTGTCCGTTTGATGATATCTTCTCCAATTATTAGCTTGTCAAGTATCCCTTTGATTTTATCATTGATGATGCATATAATTGCATAATTATTGTTTGCATTGGGGTGAAAATAATTTAAATGGGAGAAAAGACAAGCTAGACTCACAAATTGGGTTTTATATGAAATTCCAAACCAAACTGAATTATAATTAAATTCTTACTAATTGAACGAACTTATATTTAGGTTACAATCTTGTTTCCATAATTGATGATGTTATGAACCCGATATGCTTGTGTGTCGATTCGATTTGAACCAAACCGATATCCACTACTAGTCAAACGGAAACAACAAATCAACAACACTACTTACACAAAGGAATACTTGGTTTGGTAGGAACTATTAATTACTACACTTTTACTTGTAGTTCATCCCTTTTCGGGTTAATACCTTATTTTGGTCTGAACTATGATCATATAATCAACTTTAGCATGTGGTTTCAGAAATTAACATATTGGAGTCAACTATGTAACATATAAACTCAATTGGCCTAACACATGGTTTGACAGTCAAATTGGATGGTCAACATTCCATATCATTGCCTCGTCAGCCTAAAAATAATAAAGAAAAAGTCAAATTCAAATTATTTTCCTAATTATTTATCATTTTCAAACTAACTAAAAAATAAAATTTACATTAAATCTTTTGGGACATTTAAAAATGATAAATTTTATAAATTAACCAAAACTTATCACATTAAATTATATAAAGTTAAAAAATATAAAAAATAAACCAAAAAACTTATCAAAACATAATTTAAATTTTATTTTCTATTTTTTTATAATCTGGGAATGAAAAAATTTATAAATTAACCAAAATATCAAATTATTAAAGATTATTTAAATTACCCAAATAATATATAAAAATTATATTATATTTTTTAAATTTATCATTTTCAAATTTCCCAAAAGAGAAAAGATAAAATTTGTTTTATATTTTTTAAATTTTAAATTTTATTTTCTAGTTAATTTGAAAATGATAAATAATAATAAGGAAAATAATTTGAATTTGATTTTTTAATGATTTTTAAGCTTATTACTTTATTAGGCAATGACATGGCGTGTTGAGTAACGATCATTGGTGTTGATTGTCCAAATTGACAATCAAACCATGTGTCGGGCCATGATGTTAATTTCTGAAACCACGGGCCAAAGTTAATTATATGGTCATAGTTCATACCAAAATAAGGTATTAACCCCTTTTCGGGTTAATAGTTCCAACTCAAGTTTATGTTTATTCTTAGGTATTTTCCCATGCTTATCACACTTCTATTTATAGCTCTCTTTCTCTTCGACAAGTTATTTAACTTGTCGATCCCTACCGAGCTATAGCACCTATTATCCATCAATCAATCCATGTGCATAAGTGCAACATTAACTTGGTATATTCATGTACTGATGGTATATTCATGAAATGAAAAAACTCTTATTCATAAAAAAGCTTTGAATGAAAATTTCTTTATTACTACTAAATATTTTACCATCTAATCAACTTGTATTACACTAAAGTGAGACTATATAAATTAAAAAAATTCATAATCCTTTTCTAATATAAGTATGGGTTGAAAACTCCTTTATTATTAACTTAAACTTTGACCATATCATCAATTTGTATTACACATAAGTTATTTAATCAAATGTCATGCTTTTCGTAACCTAATTTATTTATTTTTAACTAAAATTCCTTCATTATTAACTAAAATATGCATCATGTCATCAATGTACATTACAAAAACGTTTCATAATGTCAAGTAACTTTTACAAAACAATTTAATCAAGTGTGATACTTTTTGTAACTTAATTTTATTATAGACCACATATTACGGAAGATCTACGTGACAACGTTGTATAACAATTGTATAACTTAGAAATGTCTTCAGATAATTATTTCTTAGGTATAGTGTACATAAGTCTTCTTTAATAATTAATACACTAAATAAACTTATTTAACTAATTATAATGATAATTAATAACTACGTACAACTTCGGAGGATCTTATATCCGTATTTTGTGACAAATAAAATAGAAAAAATAAAGGATGTCAGGCGTACGGCCATTACCTAGCCGCGCGCCTGGCTGTTTCCCTACCCCCTTCCTTTTTTCGTCTACAAGAGGCTCCCCCACCCCACCTACCCCCTCCCTTTTCTTCTTCTTCTCTCCCCCCCCACCCCATCCCAACATTGTCGGCATTTTTCCCTTTGGTCCCCACTTACCCACCCACATTGTGGATAGTCTAAGAGGCCAAATAAATGGCATGTCAATAATTTTCATTTAAATTTATGGGCAGATGAGATGGGGGGTTATTGACCCAAATATTGTTTTTTTATTTAAATTACCACTAATATTGCGGATTAAATAGTATTGACGAAAATATTGTGTTTTTTGGCTAGAAGGAGGCGTGGCCGCTTTAAAAAAATTTTAACAAAAGTTTTAGGTGCTGGCGCCTTAGACTAAGGCGCCCCCACCTTAGTCCGTTTTTCTTTTAACTGGCCTAGGTGCTAGCGCCAGAGACTAAGGCGCCCCCACCACACTCCATTTTATTTTAAAAACCCGACCCCACCGACACAGCCTTATCTTTTCTTTCCTTCCTCCTCCTCCACACAACCCCTCCTTCCTTCCTTCTTCCTCTCCCGACCAGCCTCCTCCTCCCCTCCACCACACTCCTTCTTCTCTCCGCCGTCGCTGCTTCCTAGCCACAACCACCAGGAGCGAGCCCGCCCCAGTGCCAGGCGCCGCAGCCGCTATGCCAGGCCCCGCCACCGCTGAGCAAAGCGAGCGCGCCCTAGTGCGAGGCGCCGCCGCCGCCGTGCCAGGCCCCGCCGCCGCAGGTCCAGTCGTCGCCGCCCCAAAGTCCGGTGCCGCCGCAACCAGCAGAAGCGCCACCACCCGGAGATGTCCTCCGACGAAGAAGAAGTCGCCGCCGGCAGAGGCAGGGGGAGAGGCCGGCGAGGTCGTGGCGGCCGTTTGCGCGGTGAGACTCTCATTGGCGGCTTGAATTTTTTTTAATGGTGTTGTGTTTTTTTTTAATGTTTTGTTGCTTTGTTTTTGCAGTTCCTAGGCTTATGGATCCTTATTCGATGAGATTACCACCGGCAACAATTGATCCAGGTCCGGTCGATGCGACACTTCTTTGGGGACATGGCCAACATCGTATCGACTCTGTTTGGACAAACGAGGTAAGTATTTGATAATTATTCATGTAAAGTTAATTAGCTAATTAGATTATTTTAGTTGGTGAATTGAACTGTACTGTTAGAGAATAGGATTACGTATCAGATTTTTTGAAATTAGTATAATTTGATATTAGATTAGACAGATTAGAATTAATTAGGTGAAATTAGAATTATTACGAATGAAGATGAATTAATATAAGTTTTGTGCACTATAGGCTGGTGATCGATCTTACCATGTTCGAGGTACGACCATTTTAGTACCTTACCGTGAGCTTTATCGGCCATATCTCGAAGCGGCAGGCTTGTTAAGTTTCGTGCCCCTAGTCCCTATGAACCCCGATGCGAGTTTGATTACTGCGCTCGTAGAGCGGTGGCGACCCGAGACGTCGACCTTCCATCTACCGTGTGGTGAGATCACGATCACGTTAGAGGACGTTGTTACACTGTCCGGTCTGGCGATCGACGGTGATTCCGTCGTAGTTGATATACCGGATGAGGAGTGGTCGGCGATCTGTTTGAGACTATTAGGACGGGTTCCGGTTGATCTTGTAGGCGGTGTCGCTGTTGTTAGGATTGTTTGGCTGAGGGTTGAATTCAGTCATCTGCCGGAAGATGCATCACAGGAGGTTATGAAGGACCACTTCTAATTCCTGCTCCTATCTCCAACCTGTACTTATCGAATTTCTCCACCAATCGCCAATAGGTATGTTGCACAAGAGAAGCTATAAGAAGTGCACGAATACCTTTGAAAACACCATTGATGCTTTCTGCCATGTTGGATGTCAGCATAGACCAACGACGCCCACCGTTGTAGTTATCATGTGCTAAACTCCAATGAATCTGATGTTGATCCACCCAGTTATCACATGAAATATTTCTATCACTGGCCACCTTCTTAAATTGCTCAACTTGACGATCGAACTTCTCCAACCGTTTTTCTCCAGCTAACAAAATAAACAACCACATGGGTTAGATAAATTCATGACAAAATTACATGAAAATAAATAACATAATTAAATGAAGAAGGCTTACCGACTCGAAATAGTTTCTTATACATAATTCTGCTTTTAGTTTTCCTTTGCAAATTGCTTGCATAGTGTCGCATGCACCTCCTCCACTCCCAACCTCTTCCGATGTTATTCATGGCTTCATAGAGTCCCGCATGTCTATCTGAGATGATGCATACATCATTTCGATCAGTCAAACCCTGAACGTTCCTTATGAACCATGGCCAACTCTCAGTATTCTCGCACTCCACTATGGGAAATGCAATTGGAAAAATTTTCTTCCGACCATCAAATGAGCTCGCCATGAGTAGCACTCCTTTATACTTCCCAGTAAGAAATGTTCCATCAACAACCATGACGCCCGGACAATTCTTGAATCCATCTATACAAGGTCCATAAGCCCAGAATACTCGCTGAAATATCGAATGACCTATTTGAGTCGAAGGAACTCTTACCCAATCAATCACCGATGTTGGCATTTTTCTCTTGACTACCCGCAAGAATGTCTGCAAAAAATCGTAGGATTCTTCCCAATTTCCATGCAACTTCTCCAATGCTCTTTGTTTCCCATACCAAGCCTTCTTGTAAGTAACTTGCGTATTAAACTTATCTTTCAACTCAGCTTGCACAGTTAGAACACTCAGATTTGGTTGGGCACGTACCAAATGTTTGACGGCCTCAGATATCATGTCGACATCAAGATGGCGATGATCCGTCGGTTGAGTCGTACTGCTACAAGAATGCACCAACTCGGCCTTTCTCACAGTCCATTCGCCTCCAGCATCTCGACATCCAAACCGCACCATCCAAGGACAATTGTCATCCTTGTGCCTCAAGCATCTGACCTTTCAGAGTGAAGGTGACGACTCCACCACGCCATATTGAAAGTTGTGTTGTAGTGCGTGGTGTTTAATCGCCATCTGTGCAGCTTGTTTCGAGTGAAATATCTGCCCCTTGTAGAATTCTCCTTCAAAACTATCAACAATAGGCATTGGAATTACGCCATATGAATCAACAAGTGAGTATTCTTCGTCCTCTTCATTACCCTGCAAGTAAAAATATGGAGGATAATTAGGCACTCCTTCCCCCTCTTCCTCCTCCTCCTCCTCCTCCTCCTCCTCATCTTCCTCCTCTCCGTCATCACCGTCATCATAGGCATGATCGGATGGCACGCTCCATGTATCATCTTCTTCCTCTCCACCCTGATCCTCACTGAGCTCAACATGTATCTCAGCACCCAAACAATAAGGATTTTGTGCCATAAAATTCCAAAGCACATTCAAGCTATCATCATCCATAATAGGCATTGCATAATGAAATAAAACACCATTCTGCCATTCTGGAAGACGGTAAGTGAAACCTGTGATCACATCACTATCTTGTACTGCTTCGTCTCTACGCCGTATTCTCGGAATTAGATTCTCACAAAGATAATGATATGTGACCCTGGATGGAATCGTCATCTGAAAACTACTACCACCAACGAATTTGACGCCCAAATTATCTTCTACTTTCTCCGATTTCCATCGAACGACTAGTTCAAATCTTCTAAAATCACTACAAAAAAACAGACTCACTAATTAAAACTAAACGCAATCATAATAGCATTTGAATAATATAATTACAAAAATAAATGTGTCTCTTACCTATTAGCCATTTTTGCAGCAGCAACCAGAGCTCTCTCCTTTGTTTTGGACGATTTTTTTGTGGTGTGAAACTGAAACGAAATTGGCTGGGTTTATATAGGGGGTGGCCACCTAACTCGCTGATGTCTCAGGCGGCGCCACCTTAGTCTCGGGCGCCGCCGCCTGGGACAATTTCCCACCTAACACGCTGGTGTCTCAGGCGGTGCCGCCTGAGTCTTGGGCGCTGCCGCTGTCACTTAAAATAAAACGATCCAAAATGTCATCCACAGCGGCGGCGCCTGAGTCTCAGGTGTTGTCCCCATTTTTTGTCTCCAAAACACAATATCTGTGTAAATACTTCTTAATCCGCCATATTAGTGGTAAATTAAAAAAAAACATTATTTGTTTCATTTATCCTGAGATGGGCAGGGGTATTCCTATTCAATTAGCTCTTAAATAATTAAACTAGAAAAATAAAAATCGAGAAAAAAGAAATGAAGGTAAGAGGATTAATTTGGAGTTCGTTAATGCGGTAGTTGGACTAATATAAAAGAAGGGCTTTTGTTGGAAGGCAACACCTAATCCTCCATTCCATAGGAAAAAGAAAGAAATTGCTAAATGATCAATTCACAAAATGACGGAGCGACTGGCCCTTGCGTTTTTTATCCTCATGATAATGACTAGTGATCAAGGATTGGTAGTTGGGAAGCGACAAGATGATGGTGTCGATCACAAAGAGAAGGACAAGATCAAACATCTCCCTAGACTGCTAGCCGATACACATATGGGGTTTGAGTAGTATACCGACTACATCCCTCTATTTGGAGGGAAGTTGGTATCTACTACCTGGTGGAGCAGGATGACAGCTCATCCACTCTGGAGGTATTACGTAAGCCCACTACTTTGTTCTCATCTCGCTCTTACCCTTAAGAACCTTAACAATGTATATATGTTTATATCTTTCTCTAGATAGGTTTGCTTGTCGATGGGCAGCGGCGGGATGTTGGATGCATCATGCATGGCCTCTTCGAGTCCAGCAAGATGGGAGCTTGAAGCTCATCCAGTGGGCTCTGAAAAAGGGTATGTGCGGGAAACATTTTATGTCATCAATTAAATAGCATGATTTACTTGATATCAATTACATTTATTGATGTAATACATACATGCTCTTTTTCGTTGATTATGCAGTTGCAATATGTTGTTCGTCGATTTACTGGCCAAAGTTGGCTTCTTGACCTTTCCCACTCTAGTGCCAACTACAGTGAAAATTTGACATGAGATGCTATGTAGCAGAAGAGTTGCGGCTGACAAGGATGAGCTGTCGTCATGCTCCATCGGCGTACTGCTCAAACCCTAGACAGGTACCGCGTGACAGTCTAGGGAGATGCCCGATATTGTCCTTCTCTTTTTGACCAGCAACATCATCTTGCTGTTTCTCAACTACTCTTCTTGATCACCAGTCATCATACTGAGAATCAGAAACGCCAGGGTTAGTCGCTTCATCTTTTTGTGAACTAATTGTTTAGCAATTTCTTTCTTTTGCTATGGAATGGATGAGTTCAGGTTTTGCCTTCTTATCAAAACCCCGCTTTTCATTCTTGCGTTGGTAATAGTGCAAGCGCTAATGTTTTCAACAAAAGCTCACAAGCACTTGACTTAATGATCCCTTACGAGGCCCCCGCAACCGCTTCTAAGTTATGTTTTATCACCAAGCCATTTTGTATTAACGACAACCCAACCTTGTTGATACACTTCCATACCAGTTCCTAAAGAGTTTTCCTTTGATACTCGTCCAACTTTTATTTTTTATGAAAGGGTTAGAAGGTCGTTCCACTCTAAGTCGAGTGAGTCACTCTGTCGGTAGAGTAACGACCCTCTAATGTCTCCTTTCACTCGCTACCAAAAACATATCCCCTAGAAGTCTATTTATAGAATTTATATTAGGATTTCTAAGGAGAGAGGTCGTGACCAATTGGTATCCTCTAGTTTAGCCACCACAAAAAGAATATTCTGGATTAATTTTGGCATTTTCTAGGCGAGCCCCAAAACTGTGACCAAATGGTATTATGGAATTTGGGCGGCTGAATTTAGCACCGTTTTCTAGCTTCCCCTCATTCTTGCTTCTGGATCCTAGCAGTCGAGTTGATGTCCCTCAAAACATACAAATTGGTCCACTAGGATGCTATTCCCTTGAAAACACGTGAAACACTACCAAGAGTGCATCAAAATGACAAAAGCAATACTAGAGCTACTACAACACACTTTGAGTGATCATGAAGCAAACTCAAGATATTATGACAATAGATGTATGGAAAATATGAAGTTCTGGTCATAATTTGAGGATTTAAAAGAGTAATTTTAATGTGTCATCAAATAAACCAACACTTGAACTTTGTTTGTCCCTAAGTAATCCTCACTCAGAATCGTATATCTCACTATACCTCTATGATGACATGTGACTTTTGATCATAGGTAGTGGATCATAAGCAACTTACAAGTTAAACCCTCACACTTAGCGAACCAGACAACATCATTGAGATGGATATATCTTTAGGATAATATGGATTATCTCTATCGATAATAGGCTCTTATCTCAACTCGACAGTCTCACAAATATTTAGGCCGACACTCTTTGTAGCTTTATTTAGACATTTAAGGACATTGATGCAGCAAGCATGCGAGTGATAGAACCTTAGAATGCCCTATATTCGTATTCCACAAGGTCTTCTAATGTATAACTACTCACACCGTACCATCCATGCTCAGACAAAAATATTAAAGACTTTTAGGGAGGTTTATTCGAGTAAAGAAATGAAGTAAAGCATACAAGAAAAATTAAAAGTTATTAAGGATTTTTTCCCCTTATTAGATGCATAAAATAAAGATAAATTGTTGAATAGAAAAGCATACTTGAGTTCATCATATATATCAACACTCATTCATATCATGCATCAATAACTTATAACATCACTTTATTCCTTCAACTAAGGCCATCCTACTGAAGCTTTTGCCGCA